GAGAATAGCCAGTGCCCATGTGAGGGATAATTTGTACCTTCTCAGTGAATGAGGACAGGCAAATTACTGGCTGAATAAGGACTGCCTGTGGATCCCACTGTCAGAAAGAGAGAGGAGGGCAAAGAAGGAGAGTGTAATTATCAACTAGCAAAGTGCATTCATATCCTATCACAAAAGGATTGGGATGTGGGTGGAAAAGAGAAAGAGAGTAAGAGAGAGTGAAGGAGGTTGAAAAATGGGGAGAGATATGGAAGGGGGGGGGGGGTGGAGAGTGAAGGACTCCTAGCCAAATGGATGCAAGGCCGTAAACAGGGTTAAAAACAGCCTTCTGTGGTCTGGCTTCATGAATGCAGACACATTAAGACCTTTTAGTCCAGTGCACAAGCACCTCTTTGGAGTTAAAGATGACAAGAGTTGTGCAAGGAGATGGTAGAAGATGAGGACAGGCGGTCAGGCTGGAGAGGGGTAGAGAAAGGTGGTGGGCTGTGGGCTTACAATCAAAAGCACCCATTTTTAATTTGAATAGACCCAGATATGTTATAAGAATGATGGGCTAGAGGGAGATTTTTTTTTCGCTATGTCTTTTTCTTGTTGGTAGCTGACATCGCAGAACAAAGCTAGTCTATTAGTGACCCTGGACTTTATTGACAAGCCTGCCATTACCCATACTTCCCGGGGTCTGCGGGGTCAGGGGTCACAGACATGCGGCTTGAGGGGGGCTGATGAAGGGTCTAGAGAACACAATTAGAAAGCAGGGACACCTGTAGGGTCACATCCAGTTCAGACTGTGACCATGAACAACAGTAGAACCTTTTGAGAGGGACCAGACAATGCAGGCCTAGACTCGGATAACTCGCCAAGCCTCCTACTCTTCTCTGAAGCTTTCTTCTTTCTGCCACACATGGCTCCATAATGCCTCCACTGACCATGGTTTACTGGATGTAGAGGTAGAAAATCTGTGTGGTTTTAAATGTGTTTGTGTGTTTTTGCCTTTTTGCATTCATGTGTATGTTAGGATGTTTGTGAGACTGTCACAAGAAGGTCACAGGTTTGCCAGTCGGTATAAAGTTTTATAAAATGGGGGGAAATAAACAAAGACATTTCAGCAGTCAATCATAACATTACATTGGACTGTCATCAATCAAATTAATTGGAGTACATAGCTGTGGCGACCCCTAACGGGAACAGCCAAAAGTGGTAGTAGCAGTAGTGGATGAAACCAGATGCTAAGTACAAATGCACACATTTGCACAGCGAGGCAGACAGGGTTCAGACTATTGAGGGCTAAGTGATAGCGGCATGCATGTGATATATGTGACACTGCAAATGGAGGGCATCAGTGCTGTTTGCTGGCACAGTATGGCAGCGTGTGGTGCACCGCGGGCGACTGGCACACCAGCCAAGCCTGGCACACACACTTTCTGAATAAGGAAATTAATCCCCAGTGGGTTTGCTCTGGAAGTCAAAGTATGTGTTGGTGCGTGTGTGTGCTCCACTGGGCCTCATTCTAGTGTAGCATGAGTGATGGAGACTTAAAATGTGGTTGTCTATGTTTTTTATTGTATATGCATGCAGATATATGGATACATCATTATAATACATGCTACGGTATCCTCCTCTTTCCTATTTACTTTTTGAGTGTGTGCGTGTGTGTGTGTTGAATCTCCATGTGCTGTGCTCTCTGGCAGCCGGGTCTGTGGTGGTGGCGCAGCATTCAGGTGTTGCTGCATATGTTCCTGGTGTCAGCTCCCTGTTTTCCCCAGCGGGCAGGCCAACTTATTGCCAGCCTCGTAATAGAAGGGCTGGGCAGGGGCCATGACTACCACTTGGCACACAGCATTGCCAATATGGCTGGCTTTTTGTTCCACCTCCCTCTGAAACTTAACCACTTCTGTGCCAAGATTGATTGCTGCAAATTCACAGAGCATCATTACTGCTGCACGTGTCACTGCAGTCGTCTGTCTTTATTGTGCCATTAATCACCAGACCACACAATAAGAGTTACAGTGATAGTACATGTAGTACAGTAGCATCAATAATACAGATGATATTAAAATAAATAGAATAAAATATCTTTTTTAAAGTGATGATTAAGTAAGTAGATAATAAATAGTGATATGTGGTCACTTCTTACTGCATAAATGATAAAGACTTACGTGTGGCACAAGGGTGCAGTGCTTGGCACTAACACCTCCCATCAAAAAGATTCCGGGTTCAAACCTAATGGCCAAACCGGGGTCTTTCTGTGAGCAGCTTGCCTGGGTTTTCTTCAGGTACTCCTGCTTCCTCCCACAGTCTAAAAACATATGGTTTGGGGGTGATTGATGACTCTAAATTGTCTTGTAGGGTTGAGTCAGGAGGAGTGTAAAAATGATGCCAAATCATATGTGTGGACTGAGTGAGTCCACTCTGTTGACCCTTGGCAGGGAGCAGCCAAAGGAAAAAAAAATGTTAATGGCAATCATCACCTCAAGCCTGCAGTTCATTCCCCATGGTGCAGTAAAGAGCACTTCAAGTGCACCATTCAGCTTCATAATGCTTCCTGCCATAGTGATTCAAATAGCTGATGCTTGTTTGCCATTAACCATCTGTATGGACTGTTTTAGCTGTTCCTGCTCTGGGCTACTTTGTGCATCTGTACTGTTAGATATTTTTAGTCAGATAGATATTGGATAGATACTTTATGTATTAGAAATGTTTAGTGGAGATAGGATGTCTAGTTAGACTGTTAAATGCTTAGTCATGCTTATGAGTTTCTACAGGGTACATCTGGTCAAGGATACCAGAGAGAAGAGTTGATGACTGTCAGCAGACAGGGTGTTTAATATTATTATTACGACGTGTATAACTGTAGCCTTAGCCATAATGTTCCTATGTTTAAGTCACGACATGTACTAGAGGACGTGAGAATGTTTTTAGCTACACACCACTTAACCAACAGACATACACATTCACACGTTGATTTTCTTCATGTTTTGACTATTGCTAGAGCCAGCTGCAAAACTGGTAACAGAGACGTCCCGGTTGACGTTTCTGTGTAGTATGGGGCTAGCCCAACCGAGGTGTTATAATGTATAGGCCTGTTGTGGTTCAGGGTCTTTCATCTTACATCTGCCTGCGAGCAGTTTGGAGGTGCAAAATATCTGAGCGTGTAATGTTAATTTTACCTGTGATCCATTGAATAAATCAGCACTGTTTTGAAGTTACTTGGACTGCCTCGTCTCTCAGAGTTAGCATGGTAACAAGAACCATACCCTACAAAGCCAAGCCATGCGACATCACAAATGTACAGCCAGAGCTGTGGAGAAAATCATTGGTGCCAGCCTGCCCTCCAAGGAGGACCTGTATACGTCATGGGTCAAAAGGAGGGCAGAGAGGATTTCTGCAGACCCCTCACACCCTGCACACAAACACTTTGAAGTCCTGCCCTCTGGATGGTGCTACAGGCCAGGCCAGACCAGACAGAGACAGGTTCCTCCCCTAAGGTTTTACACTTTCGGCTAGTCTGTGTTTGCGCATTTATATTGTGCTTTTTTAACTTGTATATATTTAGTATTTATTTTGTTTTTATGCTGTGCACATTGGGGGCCATTGGGCTGGAGTCAAATTCCTTGTATTTTTGATAATACTTGGCAATCTTGCAGGACCTGAAGTGGACATCCAACATCAGGACCATCACCAAGAAGGCACAACTGAGGATGTACTTCCTGCGCCAGCTCAGGAAGTTCAACCTGCCCCGGGAGCTGCTGATACAGTTCTACAGAGGAATCATTGAGTCTGTCCTCTGCACCTCCATCACTGTCTGGTTTGGCTCAGAAACCAAACAGGACAAGTACAGACTTCAGCGGACAGTCAGGACTGCAGAAAAGGTCATTGGTGAGAGGCTGCCCTCCATGGAGGACCTGTACACCTCACAGGTCAAAAGGAGGGCAGAGAGGATCACTGCAGACCCCTCACACCCCAGACACAATCTGTTTGAACTCCTCCCCTCTGGATGGCGTTACAGGTCACTGTGCACTAAGACAACCAGGCACAGGGACAGTTTCTTCCCCCAGGCTGTTGTTCTGATGAACACTTAACCCACGACAGTATAATTGGACAATAACCCTCAGTGCAATACCTGTAAATACAGTGAGGAACAGAAGTATTTGAACACCCTGCGATTTTGCAAGTTCTCCCACTTAGAAATCATGGAGGGGTCTGAAATTCACATTGTAGGTGCATTCCCACTCTGAGAGACAGAATTAAAAAAAATTTCAGGAAATCACATTGTATGATTTTTAAAGAATTTATTTGTCTTGCACTGCTGAACATAAGTATTTGAACTACTTCTGTTCCTCACTGTATACCTCGTACAGATTATAGAGACTTGTACAGGTCTCTAGTTCTTAAATAGTCTGGTTTATCCCTATTTATCTCATTTCAATGAACATTCCTTTGTTGCCTGCATTGTTTACTGTCTGTTTATACTGCTTTTTCTGCATTGTTTGCACTGTTTGTTGATGTTAATACTACAATTTTTTTTTATATTACACAGCCTTATGCTGGTTTACTGTTTGCACATTGAGAGCCGATGTACCAGAGTCAAATTCTTCACATGTCCGTCACACCTGGCCAATAAAGCTGATTCAATAAAATTTATGTTTATGCTTATGCTTAACATTAGACCACAGCTTTCCCAGGCATTTTCTTTAGTTAAATACTGCTATTTATACGTATGTTGCTGTCATGTGATGTTGGGATAGTATTCATGCATAAACTCCCCAAACTGCAACACAGACTTTTTTTTACATTTGTTTTGACAAGAGCATCTGTGAAAAATGACATGCAGAACAAAATGAATCGTTTGTAGATTTTCTCCCTAAGTACTAATAAGCCACTGTCTGCACAAGTTAAACATTAAACATAATGCCATTATGATCCCCAAAGTAACTTGAATCATTTGTAGGGAGCCTTTTCAGCTCTGGATGTCAGTGTAGAGGTACTGTAAGTGTGTGTACCTGGTAGAGCTCAATGCGCTGCTCAGGCACTCGGGCCCCAGGGTTTTGAAGACGGAAGATCCTGAGCTCAGCCTTCACCAAGTTAGATGCATTCTTCTCCATGGAAGACACATCAAACATCAGTCGCCTGAAGTAAGGGTTGAAGTGTGTAGGAGAGATGACATCTACAAAAAAATGGAGAGAGAGGCAGGTTGAGGTTAGGTGTGTGTATGACAGACAGAGAGAGGTAATGTGGGAGAGCATGTTTTATGACTGTTAGGAGGCTGGTTAAAGGTTTACTTTGGCTTGCAGCATTTAGTTGATGCTTTCATCTAGAGTGATGTATACTGAAATGAGCATAAATTCCTGGCTCAAAATAAGGAAAGATCTGGATGCCACAGTTCTGACTGTACATAAAGTGAAGGAAAGAGAAGTAGAGCTGGTTTCTTGTAACTCTCACTAAAGAAAAAACAATAATTTTATGCATCACTTTCACCCCAGCTTGTGTTCCAGGAGCTAGCCTGGAATTTAAGCAGGGCTTTGGCTCAAATTTGACCTCTTTAAACACCTGACATTTGAAATTAGTGAATAAAACACTGTTTAATTAAAAACACATTTTTGAAGAAAATGGGAAACAGTTTACATTTACTTCACCAATTCAGGATTGCGCTCATTACTGGAACCTTTGACGGACTGCTGTTTCCTGCTTCTGCAGTAACCGTACTCATTTCTTGTTGTCTGTGCCTGCACCACATTTGTGCTTGCTCCCAGACTGTTTAGGAATTAAACCTACTGTTTCTAGTGTTAGGTATTTTTAGTCAGATAGATATTGGATAGATACTTTATGTATTAGAAATGTTTAGTGGCGATAGGATGTCTAGTTAGACTGTTAAATGCTTAGTCATGCTTATGAGTTTCTACAGGGTACATCTGGTCAAGGATAACTAGGGAGAAAAGCTGATGACTGTCAGCAGGCAGGATGTTTAATATTATTATTATGACGTGTATAACTGTAGCCTTAGTCATAATATGTTCTTATGTTTAATGTCACGACATGTCACTAGAGGTCGTGTGAGAATGTTTTTAGCTACACACCACTTAATCAACAGACACACACACACATTGATTTGCTTCATGTTTTGACTATTGCTATGGCCAGCTGCAAAGCTGGTAACAGAGACGTCTCGGTTGACGTTTCTGTGTAGTATGGGGCTAGCCCAACCGAAGGGATATAATGTATAGGCCTGGTGGGTTCAGGGTCTTTCATCTTACATCTGCCTGTGTGCAGTTTGGAGGTGCAAGATACCTGAGCATGTAATGTTAATTTTACCTGTGATCCTTTGAATAAATCAGCACTGTTTTGAAGTTACTTGGACTGTCTCGTCTCTCTGAGTTAGCAATGGTAAGAAGAACCAAAATA